CTTTCAGCTAAAGGAGTCCGGCTAAAGGCTGATTTAACAGGTGGACAAACATACCCACTAAGCACAGTCACTGACAAATGCCCAGCCCTCTCGCCCTTGAGACTTTGAGGTCTAGGCAGGCTCTGCTGACACCTGGTGGCAGACAGCAGGCAGATGGGCCTGAGTCCAAAGCAGATTTCCCTCTACCTGACCTGCCACCTGGATGTCGAGTCTGTGTAATGAATGCTGGCTAAAACAGCAGGAAAGGTGTTATACTGGAGGAAGAGCTACAAGCTCTAAAGAGTAATGGCCAGGCATGAGCACACTGAAGATGCCCGGGCAGATGTGAGGATATCTATACTGCAAAGCCTGCCTTTGCAAGATCGTTCTTCCCAAAGACTGTACGTGTTTGAACAACCTCTGATCCATCTCTATATCCAATCATTCTACCACCCTTATTCCACTCCTGTTATGCAAGTTATGCCCAGAAAATAGGGATGGCCTTACTCTTACGAAAAGGAAATTTGAATTATTCTGCTTTTGTTAATGAACTCGGCCCTAATTGGGAAAAATTTCAACCAGGAGAAAGAGGACGTGTACAGGAAACATTTGACAGGTAACGCGCTAAGGGCACCCAAGGCAAGGGAATGGGGAGGAAAGATTTCTTGGAAAATGAGAGTCCTTCCCTGGGTCGCAGGAGCAGTGCTGGGCAGTGTTGTGGGAGCTGACAGGTGCAGGTGGACGGGAAAGAGCTGACAAGCAGTGGGAAACACCCGACTTGTAGGAAAAGGCCTGGCTTTGCTCCCCAGTATTTGATGTGCCTTCCCTGTGTCTCATTCTGTGCCTAAACCTTCCCTCTGTGCAACAGGAGTCATCTGCTTTGTGCAAAAGCAACATGACAGTTCTCCCCAAAACAGAGTACGTGTGTGCCAGGCACCGAGCCTGGTCATCTGACCAAAACCTCAGCGCACTTCCGTGCAGTTGGTGCCATTATCCCCCATTTAATGGGGAAAGAAACGGAGACGCGGAGAGACCGGGTGGCTGGCCCAAGGTCACACCTGCAAACTAGCGACAGTGTGTGCGTTCTTCCAACCCAGGACTGTCTGAATTCAAAACCCATCTCCTTTCCTCCTCCTCACGCTTGCCGAAACCAAACACCGAGGGAAAGAGAATTCCAATACATGCAAAAGTGCACCATTTGCCTTTTTCAATTTGTGTAATTTTAAATGTCACCACAAGTTCCCTTCTAGGTCACTTTTAAAACAAGCAACTTTGCTTTAAGGCAGGTGAGGGGAAAAAAATCCTGCTGCAATTTGTACAGTTGTAGAATCCACTGTTCAATTTTCTGCTTGGCTTTCTGGGAACAGTTCAAACACAAACAAATGACAACCTAGGACACTTACCTTGCCTGTTGTGAATAACCACCACGGCGCTTTTCCACCTGGTAAAAAGCCCTCACATGAGGCACAGGATCGCCTCCAGGCATACACAGCAATCGCACCACACAAAAGAGCTGTCCGCTCCACGAATTTGCAGGTGCGGCAGCAACCAGCTTCAGACCAATAAAAACAAACTATGGATGAGATCTTTAATCTCATTTCCTGAACTCCATTTGAAACACGTATGCACTCAGGACTCCTGACCAATTACTCCAGAGCCCAGTGTACATCCGTGCATAAATCTGGATGACCATTCTTCAAGTGCAGAAGCTTCTAGAGTTCATCCAATCTACAACGGGTATACTTTGCTGTGAAATGAGCTTCGAGAATCTGTAAGGTTTCGCCTTAAGATTCAAATACAGTCTCAAAGTCATTCATTCATTCAAGAAGGATTTATGCTGGCCTATTAAGTGCCAGAGACTGTTCTATACGCTGGAGGCATTCTAATAGCAGGAGACCAGAAAAATAATTTTTTTAGAGTTAGAGGGGCAGGGAGTGCTGCAGAAGGCAGGCATTTGCTATTTTATATAGTGTGACTAGGGAAGTCTTCCTAATGGCATTTATGCAGACGCCTGACAGAAATAGGGAAACTCACAAAAATAACTAGGAGAAAAGGCATTGCAGGCAGAGGGAAGAGCAAGTGCAAAGGCCCTGGGGTGTGAATGTGTTTGGCATACACCAGGAAGGGAAATAAGGGCAAGGTGGCTATATGGAGAGAGGAGAGATGCTGGATGAAGTCACAGAGGTCGTAGAGGCTGATCACATAGGACCTTGCAAGCCTCAGCAAGAGACTGGCTTTTTTCCTGAGTAAAGCATGACAATTTATGTTCTAGAACAATCACTCTGACTCCTGGGTAGAAAACGGTGGCAGGGCAGGAGTAGGAGCAGGAAGCCCCGTTAGGCTATTGCAGTAATCCCAGTGGGGGACAGTGGTGCCTCGAACCAGGTGGTAGCAGTAAAGAAAGTGAGTTGAGGCTGAATGCTGGATATACTTCAAAGGTGGAACAGACAGGGCTGGCTCATGGACTGGCTATGGGGTCTAAGACGTGAAAGAGAAAGGACTCCAAAGTTTCTGGCCTACACAAACGGATGAGAGTTCTTTCCTTTGGTGGGGAAGACTGAGTGACCAGGTTAGGGACGACAGATCTGAAGCGTGTTTTCTGACATCTTAAAGTCTGAGATATCTATTAGTTGATTAGCCACCTTAATGGAGATGGAGAGTGGCCAGTTCAATGTACGAGTGCTAGGTTCAGCAGGGAGATCTGGGCTGTGGGATAAAATGAGGAGTCCACAGCATGTCATTGTTATTTAAAGCTGTGAGATGCATGAGCTCATCAAGGGGGTTCCATGCAAACAGAGAAGCCCGAGGACGAGCCCTGGGGATTCCAATGCTGGAGGAGATGACAAAGGACCTGCAGAGGAAATGAGGATAAGTGGCCAGTGGAACATGAGGAAGCCACATAAAGAAAGTGTTTGCCCACAGGGTCATGAGATCGAGCCCCATGTCGGGCTCTGCGCTCAGCACTGAGTCTGCTTGGGATTCTCTCTCCTTCTCCCTCTGCCTCTCCCGCTCATGTTCATGCGCTCACTCTCTCTCTGTCTCTCTCAAATAAAGTAATCTTAAAAAAAAAGAAAGAAAGAAAGAAAGAGTGTTTGCAAGAAGGAAGGTGTCCATTGGTTCGTGTCAAATGTTTCTGACAGGTTAATTTGAAGACGGAGAATCATATTCCCTTGGCAGCAGGGGAACCACTGGTGACCCGGACCAGAGCTGTTACAGTCAACTGATGGGAACAGCAGCCCAACCGGAGAGTTGAAGAGAAAATGAGAAGAAAGTGGGAAAAGGAGGGTGTGGATAACTCCGTTAAGGGTTTGCTATAAAGGGAAGAGGGGGCAACTGGTGTGGGAATCAAGATGGAAGACACCACAGCACGTTCACATGCCTCTGGAAATGACCCAGAAGAGATGGGGAGGACAGCCCTGCAGTGATGCTCTGGGTGCCATGCCCAGACGGAGGACAGACTTGGAAAGGAGCACCGCTGGCTCACCACTGTCACAAGCAGGGGGACACGGGAGTGCAGCCGGAGCAGGCCATCTGCCAATGGCCTCTGTTTTCTCAGTGAAATAGGAAACAAGGGCGGCAGCCCAGAATGAGGAAGAGAGGAGGTGTCAGGGTCGACGGCTAAAGAGAACCTGGGGGACTAAGGGACCTGGAAGTGCAGAGTTGCAGGGCAAGGTCAGGAACTTCCTCGAGCCTGGCAGTCATGAACCAGAGCTTTGTCAGTCTGCATCCTTTTACCCCGCCATGTTCAGTTTTTCCTGGCACAGAGTGGGATGAAACCCCAGGGCTTGGGGGCGGTGAGGGGATGAGGAGGAGGACCAGAGAATCTCAGGTTAGGGGAGGGGCCGTGAAAAAGTGGTAGGGGCTGTAAACTCCAGGTCTGGTGAGGCTGACGAACTGCTGGAGGGGGCACCAGACCGAAAGAGAGAGAGAGAGAGAGAGGGAAGGGCAGGAGGCATGGTATGAAGATCATGTTACAAGCTGGGGTGTGGTTGCTGGTGGTGACTATGGCTAGGGTGTGACTGCGGGAGCAGGTGGCTGAGACCGAGTCCATGATCACAACACCGCAGTCGAGCTGGTCAGTGGCCTGAGAGCCCCATGGTACTGGAAGGCTTGTCTATACTGAACTACAACAGGAGCAGTACTGGAGAGGTGACAGTGAGCCAAGAGCTAACATGGTGAAGGAATGAGGGGGAGTGGCCTGGGGGCCTGTAGGTGTCTGCAAAGGGGGTAGGGAGGTAGCAGTGCATAATTTGATGGCATAAGGAGCAAAGCTGAGGGGTAGAGAGAGGAGGCAGGGCAGTGATTAGGAAATTAAATGAGTTTTTGTTTTTTGCTAAAGAGAATTTAACACCGAAAGGACAAGACACAGCTCTTGATCTTTCTGGCTCTCATTTCCCACCAGGTGAGAAATGGAGGGGGGAAAAGCCCTCATGATCCTCATCCTTCCCATTTGCCTTAGTCCTGTTGAAGAAATGGAAACTTCAGAGTACCCTGGTCACGGCTCTGACCCCAAGAACAGCGTCACTGGCAGGGACATCTTTCCCTGTGTATTGGACTTAACAGGAATGAGGCTAAAACCAAAAGCTTGAGTCTCTAAGGCAGCATTCCCAAAACAGCCTGCCTTCATTTATTTCAGGAGTCGTATGACATTATCTGGGACGTGAAATGGATGTGCTCCATCGTAAATCTCAGTACCCAATGAATGACATTACTTACTGAATACATCTGTAAGTGCCAAAAGCACCCAGCAGAGCGGGGTCACTGCTCTCTAAAAACCACATGGCAGAGAGAGCCGCATGACACACATCCTGTATGTTTCCTTTAAATCGTTACACATGATATAATCCTCTCACTGACTAATCATCGAAAAACAAATCTCCAAAGGCCATTATCTAAAGTCAACGTTAGTATTATAACCCAAAATGCACCTTTGGGGATGGGGGTGGGGGTGGGGGTGGGGAATAGTCTCAGGTCTGATTCATTGAATAAATAGATTTCCTTTGATGGAAAGAAATGGCAAAAGCTGCGCTCTCCTCTACCACCAGCCTCCCTCCCGAACTTAAGTGCTGGCCGTGCCGAGTGAAAGGTGGAAAGTGGCAACAAGTTCTACACTGTGGGTCCAACGTTAGAGATGGGAGCTGCCCAGGCCTGCAGAACCCAAATCCCACTGTCTTCATAGTGGAGTTCAAAATACTGACCTCAAATCAATTAAGGAACTATTCTTACTTCAATTACCTTTGCTAATCTGATAAATCAGAAGAGTTTTGAGTACAACGAGGGGCAACTGCCAGCAACCGATAATCGGAGCCCTGCCCCCAACACACACGCACATAATGAAGAAAAGATGACAAGACTCGGGTCCTCGGACACCGTCATACTTGGACTTCTTCTCTTCCCACTAGGGAGGTGGTTCCACCACCTTAGACGCACCCTCCTTGCCTCCACATGCAGCGACAGTTTTCCAAAGGGGCCCAGGCAAGGCCACCTCTCAGAGTGTCCCAGGTAGGCAGGAACATCATCCCCTCTCCTGCTTGCGTCTGGAACAGGCAGAAAGACAAGGCAAATAAAACACCTTTGCTATGGAAAAAGCTCCCTGAACTCATAACTAGGCTTGGCTAGTTAGTGGGACTAGGGCCTGTAAGCTCTTGTGGCACAAGAAGAGGAAGTAAGTTCTCTTCAACTGAAAAGGGCAAAAAATCATATAGAAGGAGTGCCAACCACAAACAGTGGGGCACGGTCTCCTGGCCTGTGACTGACCCCCTTCCTACCATGTTTCTCCAAGGGCCCGACACCCCTTGTTTTCAAAGAATGGCAGAATGTGGGATTTGAAGTCAGAAGAAAGCTGCTCTCGGACTTAACCAAATTTCAGGTCTTGGGCAAGTGCCTTAATGTCCAACAACATCAAGGTTCTTGGCTCCAAAATAAAGTTGATTCTGCTGCACTGCTCATAATAAGCATCATAAGACACTTACTGAGCATGTAACTTTGTGCTAGGCCCTGTCTACTAAGTGCTCATAGGCAATCTCGCTTCATCCCCAAAACTCTGGGAGGTGGGGATTGTCTTTTCCATTTTACAGATGGGGCTGCCCCCAGTTCTTTCCAATGGGACAACTTAAATGAGATAATAGGTAACATGCAGTGTCCGGCACATAGTGAGGATTCAAAAGGAAAAAGAGACACCTCAACTGTATTTAAGAGAATAACTGTTTTAAATATCAAAGGATAGCGCTTTAGAATGCATGTTTTTAAATAATGACATATGTGCAGAAAAAGGTATGGAATATCAGGCTATGCAAAGAAGTGACCTTTGAAGAAGGGGATTTTCACTTTACCTTAGAGTTGGTTGTTTTTAGAAATCCGAGGTTACCTGTGTAACTTAAAACACACCAGAAAGATCAGAAACACTGAAAAACGTATATAGAAGAAATAACCTAGATAGAATATGCCAAAATGGTAATGGCCATTGCCTAATGGGTTTTTTTTTCTTGCTTCTTTTAACTTCTACACAGGTATTAGTTTTTACTAATTCTTAACACAAATACATTCTCCTTATAAACATTACAGAGGCTTTTCCCACGTCACCTCCCAGTACTAGTCCCCTCCCCAGAGGTAATGTGATCAATTTGGTGTATATGCTTTTGTGCATATGAATAGATGTGTATATTCACATACATGTACACATATATATACATTATAGATTTTTTTAAATAGACTCCATGCCCGGCATGGAGCCCAATGTGGCGCTTGAACTCGTGACCCTGAGCTCAAAACCTTAACTGAGAGCGAGAGTCAGACGCTTAACCCACTGAGCCACCCAGGCGCCCCTATAGATATTTTGTGCTTTTAAACAAATGACATCACAGTTTGAGTCTCTGCAATTCCATCCATCAGGATGTCCCAAAGATGGTCACATGTCCACAAATAAGATATACGCCCTTCATTGTTTCAGATTAAGTAGTTGAGAACATAGATACACCGTAGTTTGGCTATTCTGCTACTGACTTCAATTAGGATGTTTACAATGTTTTTCTATTGCAAATAACACTGTGGTGGATTCCCTTATAAAATGCCCCTTCTGCATGTGTGAGAGGATTCTTTGGGTCAGAGTCTAAGAAGTGGAACCTCTGGATCAATGGAATCTGCACATTTGTTATTTTAATAGCTAGCAAACCAAATTGCTTGCCTAAGTGACTGTACATGAATTTATATTCCCACTGGCAGAGTGGGCACACATCACTGCCAATACTTATTACCAAGCCCTTTTTACTCTTTGCCAACTTGACAAATGAAAATGTATCCTATTATTTTGAATTTCCCTGAATAACAGGATGTGCATCTTTTCACGTTTATAAGCCATATAGATTTTTTTTTATGAACTACTTCTCTATAAAATGTGTTTTTCTGCTGCATGTTTGTCCTTTTCTCATAGACTTATTATAAAAGTCATTCACAAAATCTGGAAACTTATCCTTTGTCTCCTTTATAAGTGCAAGTAGTTTCTCCCCATCTTTGTCCTTCAACCTTTGATTTTTTGGGGGGGGAGCTAGTTTTTCATAGATACATCAAATTTAGCAAATTAGAGTATTTGAATTTTGTGTTTTAGGGAGAACTTCTTTATCCCATGGTCATAAATATAATCCACTTTTTTTTCTAATAAACTCATCATCTCATTTTTCATGTCAAGTTATTTAATCCATCTGAAATTTTAGTGAATGGTAGGAAAAAGGACCCTTAATCATTTTTTTAATGCTTAGTCAGGTGTTAAATACCTTTTTCTTACAAATACCTTTATTATATAATAAGTTTCCAAATACATTAGTCAGCTTAGTTTGCTATTCTATTCCTTTGATTTTTTTTTTTTTCTTTTGGTCTATTTCTGTATCATTCCACAGCTGTTTTAATTCCTGCACTTTTAAGATACATTTTTACATCTGGTAGGCAATCCCCCTTCCTTCTTGCTCTTCCAAGTGATCGTGCCTCCTTTTGTACATTTACTTTTCCAAATGAATCTTTCAATCAGTTTGTCAAATTCCAGTATAAATCCTTTGGGATTTGACGGAGGTAACACTAAATTATAGATTCGGTATAAATCTATGTCTTTAGTATACCAAAGCTTCCATCTATAAACACGTGAGGTCTCTTTGTTCAGGTCTCTTATATCCTCTAGTAATATTTCTGTAGCTTTTGTGCACATGTCACTGTAGGTTTGTTATCAAGCACTCTGGAAGTCTCTCATTACTTCTCATAACGTGTCAGTTGATCCTCTTGCAATCCTATTGTCTGCAAATGAATGGTTTACCGCCTCCTTTCCAGTATCGGTGCTTCTTATGACTTTTTTTTTATTGTATTGGCTATAATAAGGCCTGCAGAACAATCCTGGATAGTCCTGGCAACAGTGGTCATCTTGGTCCTGTATCTTCTCTAATAGACCTGCTTAAAACACTTCTCCATTAAGCAGTTTTTGTGGGTAACTTTCCTCAAGTGAAGGAAATCCTCTTCTAGTCTTAGTTTTTATTCGTGCCTGGGGTTGCAGATCATCAAATGCTTTTCTGGTATCTATTGAGATAAGCATAATTTCTTTCTCCTTTAATCTGTAGGATTTGTGAATTACTTTGATCGGTTTTCTGTAGTTTTGAACCAATCTTCCATTCCTGGTGATAGCCCTTTTTAGTCATAATATAGTTTTCACACCTGTGTTTATAACTACATGTAACTGTCTAACAAGGAAAATACACACCAAAGGGTCATATATGCATATTTTTGCATTTTTGTTAAAAAAGAAAATATACAGGTAAAGATAGACTTAATTTTTCTTAGAAAAGAAAAACATGTGTAAACTAAATGTGTGCAAAATGAGCAAATAGTGTGTGCTTTAACCTGTTCTACTCACTAAATTCCCTATTTGGGTTAATGTCGTCACCATCAGGCCACTCACTGGAGCCAGAATCCACCGAAGCCCCCACTCCTCCTTCTGCTAAACCCTCTGCACACAGCATTCACCAAGTCCCAGGATCCCACCAGTCACTCTACCCCATGCCTCTAATGGGAGGCCACAGGGCAGAATGGGCAAGGTCAGGACTTCAAGACACACCCAGCTCCAATCCCACTGCACATGATTGCCCTGCTTTGATGAACTACTTTAATTAAATGAGATAAAATATGTAAATTAAATAATATATCAAAATTAAATGAGATAATATATGTAAAGTACCTAGCACGATGTTTGCTGTGTAATGCATGAGCAAATGTTAACACTATCTCACGAAGGTCTCCTCCCCTCTCCTTCTCCTGTGCTGTGCCCTAGGTCAGGCTCTCCAGTCTTCATCTGGTCCATGACAACTATCTTTCTGCCATCAGGACACAGCTGCCAAAGCTCCCTTTCTAAAATACAAATCTAGCCATGTGATGTTATCTGTTTAAATCTTTCCACTGGCTCCCCAGTACCTACTAGATAAACGTCCAACTCCTTAGCATGAGGGATAAGGCCCACCTCAACCTCCCTCCTGACCTCCTCTTCCTCCACTCTGGTCTAAGGGCTTTCCACACGAGTACATTGAAATCTGTACTTTCTACAGAAAATCACAAGCTCTCTCACCGTGCTTTGCCTTTGCATATGCCGGTCCCTTTTCCTAAAAGCCTCTCCCTTATTTTCTACTAAGCAAAAATTCCTATTCAACCTTTTAAGAACAAGCTCAACTGATACTTCTTTTAAAATAAAAATTAATCCCACATAGAATTAACTACCCCATCATCAATGCTCCCATAGCAGTTCTCACTGCCATTATATTAAGATTACTTGCTTAAATATCTTTCCCCACTCACCAAGGCAAAAACTGTGTCTTATTTAATTCTTTGTTAACTCCCCAGAAGCCTGGGTCACTGGTCCTTTTTTAATGAATGAAATGAATAAAATAAATTTTCTGTTTTAAATAAGGCTCTACCACATCTTTCAACAAAGCAAAAAAGCATATTCTGATTATGTTAACCAGACTTCAAAGCTGATTTTTTTTTTTTAAGTTAGCCTCCTACCACAATGAAACCAATTTGCCTTACTAGCTATTTTAAGGGTTCTTAGAAAAATTCTAGAGCCAACTAACCTCGTAGGAGTCCTGATTAGATATACATCCTGGCTGAGAGGCCCCTTTGAAATCACTAGTCTTCAGGCACTGAGAGTAGCCATTATCAGGAATCGAGAGTATTATATTATTTTGAAAGAATGTATCTTCCATGTCTTAGACTTGTTCTCAATGAACAATTTTCTTCCAGAAGTGCAAACATCCTGCCACCTTCTCTCTCCAAAGAAATGAGTTTGGTTCTATTATAGTCTGTTCCTGAAGTAAGGAAAAAAAAAAGGGGGGGGGCGGAAATTCAGCCATGTTATTTGTGTGGGCTGAAATATTAAAAGAAGAAACTCTCTTACATCAGAAAACCTCCCTAAAATACACACTATTCAATTCATGCATGGCAGTGTATCATCGTGAGCAAAAAGATGGCACTGGTGGTCATCAGAGACTCATAATCTTTGCTAACTACAGACAGTAACAGTGCATAGTGGCTCTAATAGAAACTGAAAAAAATATAAAATGAACAGAATGACCTTAGTCTTAACAATCTTTTTAAAGAACCCAACATGCAAGCCACCCAAATAACCCCTAATTTCAGAAAAATAAGTTATGACTAAAGAACCAATATTCCATGATGATTTTTTTTTTAAGATTTTATTTGAGAGAGAGAGAGCATGAACGGGGGGGGGGGGCAGAGGGAGAGGGAGAAGCAGGCTCCCCGCTGAGCAAGGAGCCAGACTTGGGGCTGGATCCCAGGACCCCAGGATCATGATCTGAGCCGAAGGCAGACGCTTAACCAACTGGGCCACCCAAGCACCCGTCCATGATAATTTTTGAATAACTCTTTCTTTCACTTAAAAAAAATGTTTTTCTCATAAATATATTATTTTATAACAAGAAAGAAAGAAAAAGGGCAGACCTGCAGAGAGAGAAAACACCACAGACTTCAGCTCAAATAGCAGAGCCTGAGATTAATTTTTAAGTTTATTTGTCAATTTCCAAAACTCACTAGTGGAATAAAGAGCTTAATACAGGTATGCAAAAAGGGAGCTCCCAAGAGGTTTTCACCAGGATGAAATGGGATTAGCTTTGTAGTTCTTATAATCTTCTTCACAGAAAAATGCAATTTCAGTTTCATGAGCTGGAAAAAAAAAAAAGACAATGGAAAAAAATTTTAATGTAAAACTAGATTTTAAGCAAGCACTGAAATCCATATTACTCTGATTCAGTGTTTCACATGCCTAAAGTGAGAAAGACTAGCTACTTGTTTGGTTTCACATTTCACCAAATCAATAAGTATCAGCTGTCACTATAAGAATTTAGAATTTAAGTAATTTAAAAGTAAAAAGAAAAATAACCAAAAAAAAATTAAAAACAAGGATGAGTACAAGACTGGTTTCCAGGAAACCATAAAATTACTCATGTTATAGTCCTCTTAACAATCCTAGAAAATAAACGTTTATTTTTTTCCAAATGTGCTGCTCAGTTACTGAAGGAGGAGGGGAAAACGCTTTTTTTCTCTCTAAAATTAGCCTGTAGGTATAATAATTTAATACTTAGAGGATCAGAATACTTTACAGATCACTTTACATTCTCCCTCATGACCCATCAAAATATGTGTCTGAAGAAGTTAATTTTTTGCCTGCTTATGACTAATTCATGAGGCTTCAACAATATGCAAAGTGAAAGACACAAATTGGCTTCTCCCGCAATACCTTCAAACACCTCTAATTATTCACAGGGGATATGGCACAGCTAAAGGACCCACAAAGGAGCAGAGCAGTCACAATTCTTTCAACCTAGCAGGTCAAGGACTCCGTCTTCTAAAACAGTAAGTCAGCAACATTATTAATTCAGACTGGAGACAAATCTGATGGAGAGCCTTCCAATTATTAAACATGCAATTCTTTAAGGTGTGCGCCAACAAATTCCGCATTTGTTTTTTTTAAATTAAACCAGAAGTTAATACAGTCTGCTTAGCTTTTACAGAAAGAGCAAAAGGGCCTGCAGACTCTCGACAAGAAAACAGACGAGATTATTTGTAATGAATACCGATCACTCAATTAACATATCCTCTAAAAACAGACAAGTAAAAACTCTTCAAGCCAAATAAACAGGATAATAGGGAAAGATGCCAAGGATTCCCACTGGTCTCTTAGTTTACCAAACTCATCTCATCACAGAATTTATCACAAAAGAATGAAATTAAGGAGCTTAGCATGACATTTCAGTTAAAAAAAAAAGGTTTTGCTGGTTTTAAGAATATCAAATTTATTGTTTCTCAATCATGAGTTACCCGTGCTCATTACAGAAAATACAGAAATGCTGAAAGAAGAAAATAAAGTCACCCATAGTTTCAGATCCTCATTCCAGTCCCAGTGCATCTTCAAGATTAAATGAAGATTAATCTTGATGAAAATCAGATTGCAAACTCTTGGCATAATGAGCCTGGGGGTGAGGAGGAGACAGGGCTGCGACAAACTGAGAATCAGTGAGAAGAGGCTAGAAACAAATGAACCCTGGGCAAATAAGAAGTTTGTACAGCTGAATTTTACATGAAAATAGCATTTAAAAGAATGGCTAAGAGGCTCCACACGTGGAATCAGTAAAATGTTGAAGGGGGGGCGGGTTCAGAAAACTCAATATTCAGAAAGAAGATAATTTTGAGATCTATTCCTTTATATAAAAAGCTCCCGGGTTTCCTTTTTTGAAGGGAAGCAAGCCCAAAGGTAGACCTATATCATTTACAAGTAATTCTCATCATCCTCCAAATGCAGAATGAGCTAAAAGCACCCTGTTCTTCAGAATCACAACGCAAGGTTTTACCTACAATGTGCTATTTACATACAGAACTTTACATAGCGCTTTGCCCACGCAGCACTTTGCTCAATACACACTAACTGTAATTACAATTTTCACTTACTGCCGTTGACATTTATCTGTACCCCTTTTGAGAAACAAATACATCGTAGAGTTCCTCAGTATGGTAATAATAGGTTCAGGATAAGCTGAAATAAAGAAGAACTGACAAAGCATTTTTGTTTTGCCACATAGGTTTTCTTGGATCTAATTAACTTACAGATCAATTCATTACTTATCTGAAGTATTTATATGCCATCTCTCACAATACACGCTCAACATGAGATCCCCTAAGATAAAGATTTTCAGATGAATACTTTTTTTCAAAACAACAACAACAAAACAAGACTGACAAATGGGTTCAACTCCCAATACTTCATGAAGGCTGATAAAATTTACACCCTTCAAAAACTGGAAAACAACACACAAGTTCAAAGTGGGTTACTCTAAACATTCAAAAGTCAGACATAAAATGTATTTTTTTAATTTTTTTAAAAAGATTTTATTTATTTTTGACAGAGAGAGAGAGTATACAAGCAGGGGAAGCCCAGGCAGAGGGAGAGGGAGAAGCAGGCTCCCCGCTGAGCAGGGAGCCCGATGTGGAGCTCGATCCCAGGACCCTGGGATCATGACCTGAGCCGAAGACAGACATTTTACCGTCTGAGCCACCCAGGCACCCCATAAAATGTATTTTAAACTTGAGTAATGTGGTCCTCAAACAAACCAAATAGAATGCTTTTTAAAATCTGTAAAATTCTCTTGAAAATGTTTGAGAATGATGTCCTGTATTTACGCCACAAATTTACTTATCAATTAGAGTGAAAACAAATTACAGAAGATTTTCAAGACCTCTGCATCATCACCCTTTCGACCATTATCCCTTAAATTCTTGCTTCCCCAGTACTACTTAAAATGGCTCCAAAGAACCCCAAGGAAGTCTACTATGTGCCAGTCCCCTAGGGCACCTGATTTTAAATTAAATGTGCAGCAGGCGCAGTGCACTCAGGTGCAGAGTGCCTTGGCGTGTGAATCTGAAATGAATGTAAAATCTAAAATCCAATAAATACATTGCCAGTTCATCCCTTTGTCTTACTATCAAATGAAATCAAGTAAGAACCCTCCAAATACTGTGCACCATTTTAATGTGACTTTCAAGTGTAATGCAGTGAACACAAGCCAGGACATTCAAACTTTGAAAATGAAATTAATAATTTTTTTAAGATTTTATTTTTTATTTGAGAGAGAGAGAGAGAGCATGAGTCGGGGGCAGAGGGAGAGGGAGAAGCAGACTCCCTGCTGAGCAGGGAACCCGATACGACATGGGGCGGGGGTGGGGGGGGCTCAATCCCAGGACCCTGGCATCCTGACCTGAGCCCAAGGCGGATGCTTAACCGACTGAGGCACGCAGGGGCCCCTGAAATTAATAATTTTATAATGTGTCCAAACAGGTCAGCTCCATGTATATACACACCTTTAACAGGAAAATAATAATGACTTTAAATAAAAGAATGTAAGAAAAACCAATTTTGTATGTAAAAGCTCAAGAAAAATTCAAGGCAATATACTTAAGCTCCTAACTAATTTATTCCAAAAACTCACCTATCAATGAGGATTTATTGCACAGTTTTGAACTCCCTAGCCTGTACTAGTCGGCACCAAAGTAGTATAAGGCACAGCAACTGCTGTCTGAGAAGACAGAGACCTGCGCACAGACTCTGTAGTACAGATAATTAATGATCAGGCAAGCTGTAATGTGATAATAAGTACAGGTTATTGGCCAAAAAAAAAATACAGGAGTGAGGTCTGGTTTCTGCAGCAATTTGAGACCAAAAGGACAAAGTTTTACTTTCTCTCCTAATCCAGGAGTATATCCTATCCTTCCAAGGTTCATAAAATCCGAAACTACAAATCATTCAAAACTATGCTCACAGCTGAGTTATACATTTATATATATATATTTTTTTTTTTACAGCTGAGTTATATTTCTAAGTTTGCACCAAAGTGATCCAGCCAAGAGTTCCCAAACACAGTGCTTTATTTCACATTTGCTTCAAGCATCTGTTTTTTAGATCAGTGGGCAGAGAGGATTTCAAGGTTCAGTTTGAAGAGAGCAAATAGTAAAATAAATCTGACCTTTTAGAGACTGGACACAGGCCTGTGGATTCCCACAGTGGTGAAGGGAGGGTAAAAAGGGAAGAACAATCCAGGCCCCTTGTTCTGGAATCCCAAATTCCCCAAGCCCACCACCTACCTTCTTGAATACCAGACTACCACTGTTTTGATGTTTAAGGTAAAGAACAGCCCCTGTAAGACGCTGTTAAGGGAAGAAAGCATGTATGCCCTAAGATATTATTACTCAAAAGAGGATGGGAAAGGCACCTGGAATGTTCAGGAAACACAAATCAAACACGATCCTGATAAAGAAGTGAGAGCCAAAGAATCCTGCAATATCAGCTGTACATCTGAGATAATCAAAAGGTGCTGGGCACAAAGTCAGGGTTCTGGTTGTGGGCAGACAACATAAGTTGACACATAAAATGAAAACCGACCACAGGGGAGCTTTGGAATGAGTACAGGATCCGGTTTGAAGCAAACTCCTCCCTCAGATAAGCACTTAGGGTTTGGCCTGCTGTATCTTGTTTTAAAATATTTCCAGTAAAACACAACAGGCTTGAAAAGAGTTACCCTGCCACCATTTCTTTCCTAAGGAAAGAGGATTCAAAAGATAATAGTAGTAGAATGTAGCCAAAGGAAAGAGATAAAACACCACCACAAAAATACTGACGTGCAAATTTACCACTTAGGGGAATGAGTCCATAAAACTACAGTCATTAATGACAAGGTAAAAATCTTTGCATTTACAAATAACAATTCTAAGTAAAGCTTTCTTCTTCCTTCCAAAAAAAAAAAAAAAGCACATCTTTTTACTGAGGTCTTTTAACTCTGAGTCCACAAGCGAAAATGTGCCCTGACGTCAGGCGCAGAATATACAATTGGGATCCGCAATACAGTTAAAAGGCTGGGGCAGGAACTGGAGAATTTCTCCGTGAGAAAAGAGATCTTCAAACAAGTTTTTTCCCCTAAGATCCCCCTGCTCACAGTCCTTGTCTTCCTTTCATGAATTCTGCAGAAAAGTCTAATGATAAATTTGTTACATTGGCCTTATTCCCATGGCAACAGCGATGGCAGAGTGACAGCTCTAAGCAAGATCAAGTGGGGAAAAGGGAGAGTGAGGACTCGGAATTCTTCTCTTCAACCACTTAAAAACCTAACCAGACATGGCACCGAGGGAGGGGAAATTCCCTAGAAAAATCACACACTTCAAGTGTCATTTTTACAACTCTCCTCCCACTCAGAATTTTTTGTGGCTTCCAGGGACCACCACCTCCTTCCCATGTGGATGTGAAGCTTCTCCAGGGCACAGCATGGCGGCTCCGGACAGGAAGCCACTCCAGCCGGGCCAGGAGTCACCCCAGACCAGGGCTGTGGGCTTGCCAGGGCTGGGGGGCAGTGTGAGGTTCCAGGACCGCCCTGAAACTAGTGGGGAACTCGTGACAAGAATCTGATGCTCATCAAAGACCCATGGCCTTACAACAAGAATGACAGAAAGATGGATCTAATTCTTACCTTTACAGCTGGTTCATTACATGAGTCTGAAAATGACAGTTAAGCCAACAACTCAGTAATTTTAATAAATTCAAAACATTTGCCAATTGCCTTCTCTAAAATGGCTTCCAAATATGTGTTTCTGAGGGTCTCTACATACATCGTTCCAGATGTTTTCATAGGCTTTTCTCATTCAACTCTTAGGACAACGCTCTGAAACAGGTTCAGTGGTTTCTGTTTTGTTTTACATGAATCAAAACAGAAGTTCAAAAACACTAAATGGCTTATGAATGGTCACAAAATAAGTAAAATGCAGAGCCCTCATTCAAACCAATTTTCTCCAACTTTAGGAGTCTATTCTTTAAAATTGGTTACTTAATTTACATGGGAACTGTAGAAAAATTTTAAATTACGAGAACAATTAGATGATATCGAGAACGAAAAAAAAAAATCAAATGCTTGCAGTGCCACCAGCCAGAGAACCATTTCTACAATTTTGTTACATGATTTTTTCTTCACATACACATACAGACGTGTAAATATATACATTTATAAACAATAATGGCATCACACAATATATTCTACTTCCATGCAATAAAGAAAGCTCTATATCAGTGATTCACAAACAGGGAAGGTGAGAGAACTCTGCCACCCTGTTGAAGGCACATCTCAACCTCGGGGGAGTCACGGAGCTTAAGGAAGCGTACTCCTGTTGGCATGGTAACAGATGCTACAGGAAGTTAAGAGTGGTAAAGTCTTACTGGCCAAATTGACCTACAGGAAGTTAGAGGTAATATACATTCCCAACAGTAGTACCAGAGAGTATCCACTTAGCAACACTCTCTTGGATACTACCACTTTTCTTGACGTCTGTTAGTTTTGAAATTACTGCTTGTCCAAGGTCACCCAGCCAGTAAGTGGCAGAATCGGGTTGTAAACCCATGCACTCTGGCTCCAGTCTCTAATTCTTAACCACTTAAAAACCATGTAGTATAATACATAAAATAGCATCTATCTTCATGTGTATTTCTCTCTGGACTCATAAGGCTGAACTATTTTTCATATGTTAGCTATTCTATCAGTAGGATTTCTTATATTTTTCCAACCTAATTATAAGAGCGTTTTATAAATTCAGGCTAGGGGCACCTGGGTGGCTCAGTTGATTAAGCATCTGCCTTCGGCTCAGGTCATGATCCCAGAGTCCTGG